GGGTTGGGGTTGGGGGCATATGGGTGGGCTGTGTACCTGAAGGAGTTTGTGGGGGGAGTGGGGAGATGTTCTGCATTGCTGTGCTCACTTCAAACTTCACCAACCGGCTGCTGTGCCTTTCTGTCCCCCCCACCCCCCCACTGCAGAATCGGCCCGAGGACCAGTTGGAGGCTCGCATCCAGAAAGCGGTGCAGTTCAAGACAGAGGGCAACGAATATTATAACCAGAGGAGGCTGCGGGAGGCCATCAGCCGCTACCACTGGGCCCTGATGCAGCTCAGGGGCCTGGACCCCAGCGAGCCTGCCCCGCTGCACGCTTTCGGCGACGAGAAAGTCAAGCTCAGCCCCGAGCAGGTGGCTCTGCTGCGCAGCACCGAGTGCGACTGCTACAACAACTTAGCAGGTAACGCCTGCGTCAGGGTGGCACACAGCTTGTAAAAGGCGCGACCCCGCTCCCCCTGTCACTCAACACTCGTCATAGGCGTGCAGCACAGAAGCAGACCCTTCACTTCCCGCACCCTCCACACATCCCAATCTGATCCAGACCTATTTGCCAGCATGTCCCTCCAAACCCTACCTATTCATGTACCCATCCAGGTGCCTTTTAAATGTTGTAACTGTACCAGCCTCCACCACCTTATTCCATACACGCACCACCCTCTGCTTGACCCTTTTCAAATCTCTCCCCTCTCACCTCTGCCCTCTAGTTATGGATTCCCCTACCCTGGAAGAAAGACCTAGGCTAGTCGCCGTATCCATGACTCACTCTCCAGAAACGTCAGAAGTCTGTTTCTGAAAAGGGACCTAACTTAAATGTGGGCAGAGTGGCCTCTTTCCCCCACAACAAAACCCTCCTCCTCCCCCAACCCCCATGCTGTAAAAAGGACGCGATTCTCACAGAAGGAGAGTTACGTCGACCTCAGAAAGAATACAGCGTGGAATTTTGATTAACTCTTTCACAGGGTAGGCAGCGGCACTTTCGCCCATCCCTAATTACCCCCTGGAGAATGGGGTGGTGAGCTGCCTTTCTGAACTGCTGCAATCTGTCTGCTGTAGGGACCCCCACACAGCACTGTTAGAGAAGGGAGCTCCAGGATTTTGACCCAGTGACGCTGAAGGAATGGCCAATATATTTCCAAGTCAGGATTTTGTGCGACTCAGACAGGGTCTTGTAGGGGTGGTGTTCCCAAGTCTTTGTCGCCCTTGTCCTTCAAGATGGTCGGGGTGTTTGGTAGGTGTCGCTGAATGAGCCTCAGTGAGAGTTACTGCAGTGCACCTTGTACATGGTACACACTGCTGAAGGGAGTGGATTGTGGTGCTGTGGTGGGGCTGCCTTGTCCTGGATGGGTGTCGAGCTTTTTAAGTATTACTGGAGCTGCACTCATCCAGGCCAAGCGGGGAGCTTTCCAATCTTGTGCCTTGTCGATAGAGATCAGGCTCTGGGAAGTCCGGAGGTGAGTTAACTTTTCACATGATGTTTAACTCCGAAGTCAGATGACGAGGAGAGGTTGCACAAACCAGAATTTAGCAGGTCATGAGATGATTTTATTAAGATTTTCACAGTATCAATTCTTTTGACTCTAGTTGGCACTGGCGCCTCACAGCACCAGGGACCCGGATTCGATTCCACCCTCGGGCGACTGTCTTAAGTGGAGTTTGCACATTCTCCCCGTGTCTGCGTGGGGTTCCCTCCATCACTCCTTTGGTGCATTGGCTGTGCTAGATTGTCCATAACGTCCAGGCTAGGTGGATTAGCCATGGGAAATGCAGGGTTACACAGACAGGGTAGGGAACTGGATTTGGGTGGGATGCTCTTCAGAGGGCGAGTGCACACTCAATGGGCTGAACAGCCTCTTTCTGCATCGTGGGGATTCTGTGATCATGGGGAACAGATCGAGGTCAGTGGAGAGAAACTATTTCTTGCTGGTTGAGGAGTCTTGTACTGAGGAATAGAATTTAAAGAGGAAAGTCAGATTTTTCGGAAGAACAGTTAGGAAACACATTTGAGAGAAGTTTGGAGCTCTCTCCGCGAATGGTATTCATTGCTCAAATCATCAGTTTTAATTTTGAGACTGATTGATAGATTTTTGTGAACCAAGAGTATTAAGGGACACGGGATAAGGAGAATTACAGAGACTGGGTGCAGATCCGTGTCCAGCTTTGTCAATGGGCTGAGAAACTGTGGGGGGGGCGCAGTGCAGAGATGGTAAGCCAACATCTCTGTTTCACTGCCATCTGCTGTCTAATCCCATTTGTGCCATCTGTCTCATTATGGGAATTGCTGTGAGAACTTTCTCACTCACCTCCAGCAGCCCAGCCATGTGAAGCTGGGGAGGGGTGGAGATTCTAGATCTAAATTGTGAGGAACGCTGGGTGTTAACCGACTTTCCTGCTGTTCTCCCTGTTCCAGCCTGCCTCCTCCAATCTGAGAAGGTGAACTACATCCGGGTGCGGGATTACTGTCTGAAGGTTTTAGACAGGCAAGCAGACAATACCAAGGCTCTGTACCGGGCTGGAGTGGCTCTCTACTACACCAGAGATTACGACCAGGCCCTGCACTACCTCTCAGAAGCAGCAAAGTTGTCACCAAATGGTAAGGGACAGCAAAGGTGGGGGAGTGGTACAAAGTGGTTCAGTTAGTCCCATCTGCTTCAGTATCTCGCTATCTGAGCACAGCTTTCAGTCCCACTCCAAATCCCTGAACAGCAAAACCCAACCAGAGAGCCCAATGTTGCTGTCGGAGGGTCGGCGCCTAGGGAGCACCACGCTGTTGGAGGGTCAGCGCCGCACTGTCGGGGCAGTCTCACAGCCACGACTGGAAGGAGGGATGGGGTAGACGTTGCTGTGGCGTATGGGGATTCCCTCACGCCGTCACCCTAAGTTTCCCGAGATCAGTGATTAACACCCCAACTCCCGACCAGTGCCACTTAAAGAGGGAGAACCAGGGTCATTTATTGTTTGGCTGTCTGTGGAATCATTCTTTGTACACCCATCCAGTTCAGCAACAGAGACTGAAAGGCTGTGACATTAGAGATGCTGTGTGGTGGGGAAATTGGCAGTACAGAAATGCAGGTGGGGCAGCTACGCCCCAGTCGGTTAAATGGGACAGCGAGTGGCTGATGTCTCGCAATCGCGAGGTGGTGAGGCAAACAAACCATTGACCAAAACATCTCATTGGTGTCATCATCTGTTTTCCCACCCTGCCCCCACTTTGACAGATGTCCAAGTGAAGAGGTACCTCCAGGAGACAGAACGGTGCCTCAACCAGTACCACAAGCGCGAAAAGATGATGTACAAGGAGATGTTTGCCAAGTGACCGCAGCAGGAACCCTTTCTTCTCTGCTACATGTTGGACATTTGCATCAGCTCCGTTGCCCCCCCTCACCCCCCAGTACCCTCTCAGCAGGGAGCAAACACAGCCTGTTTTACGTCTGTTCAGAGTTACCCACCTCGGTGACGCAGCCTTTCTCAAATCTACCCAAGAAAGCATCTGCAAGTTGCTACTGACTGTCTCTCGTCAGGGCGGCAGTGGACATGTATGCGCACGTACCGTGGTTATTTAATCCAGGTGCCAGAATTATTTGTTTGATTTTTTTTTTTGCCTTTCTTCTCCTCTAAACTATAAAAGTGATGCCTGACGTTTTTTCGGAATGGCGAGGGTGTGGTGCTTTCTTTTATTTTAATCAGCTCCTTCACTGGGAATTTGCAACCAAGTCAGAAAGGTGCCCAAGCCTCGGGAGTGGGCCCGGAGCAGATTTACAGTAACGGGCATGGAGAGGAGGAGGGGTGGGGTTGTGCGAGGGGCTCGGTTTCACTTGGAGAGACCGACGAAGCTAGGATGGTTCTCCTCACGGCACAGAAGATAAAGGTGGAAATTGAATTTGGGGTGTTCAAAATCATAAGGGGCTCGATAGATCAAATATGGGGAAACGGTTTCCAGAGACAATAGGTCAGTCACAGAGCTATACAGCACGGAAACAGACCCTTCAGTCCAACTCGTCGATGCTGACCAGATATCCTAAATTAATCTAGTCCCCATTGCCAGCATTTGGCCCATATCCCTCCAAACCCTTCCTATTCTTCTAAATGTTGTAATTGTACCAGCCTCCACCACTTCCTCTGGCAGCTCATTCCATACACACACCACCCTCTGTGTGAAAAAGTCGCCCCTCTAAATCTTTCCCCTCTCACCTTAAACCTATGCCCTTCTAGTTTTGGACTCCCCCACCCTGGGGAAAAGACCTTGGCTATTCAACCTAAAATCATAAAATTCATGATTTTATAAACCTCTATAGGGTGACTCCTCCACCGCTCCAAGGAAAATAGCCCCAACCTATTCAGCCTCTCCCTGTAGCTCAAACCCTCCAACCCCAGCAACATCCTTGTAAATCTTTTCTGCACCTTTTCAAGTTTAACAACATTTTTCCTATAGCAGGGGGACCAGAACTGAACACAGTATTCCAAAAGTGGCCTGACCCCCCCTCAATGTCCTGTACAGATGCGAGGGAGAAACGGGCTGAAGAGTACTGACTTAAGAGGAGGTGAGACTTTTCGATGCATTGAGCTGTTAGGATCCAGGTTGTCTGTAAAGGGCAGCGGAAGCAGATTCCAAAGAGGGGAATTAGATAAATACATTGAAAAGGAGACATTCGCAGGGCTATGGGATGGATGGACTGGGACTCTCTGACATCTAGGATGACATAGAGGGCTGAGCGGCCTCCTGTTCTGCCCAATCCTTCGCTCCAATCCAGTCACTGGCAGGTCCCACTCGAAGAATGTTGACCCAGCTCCCTCGTTGAGGCTGCGATGCCTATCTCAGTCGAATTTCCCAGCCAGTGAAGTGTGTTGTGTAGATGCTGCTATTCCCCCGCACCGCCCCCCTGAACAAAAACAGGATCAGACAAACTGCAATTACACAGCTTTAATGGGATTCCACATTCATTCATTATCGGAAAACATTACGTCCCAACGGTAAATGTTTCTTCCCACGAAGAAACCGTCAGGATTTTTTTTTTTTAGTTTTTTTTTTAGAAGATCCTTTTGTTTTAAGGCACACCAGTTCACGTCGCTCCACTTCTCAGGAAAACTTGCCCCTTTGGTCCGTCTTTGCCCTGCCAGACTTTTGCTGGCGTCTGCCTCCACGCATCCGCTCACCCGTACCGTCCCCAGACCTGGGATAGGGATGGTGAGGGAAGAGGAACGTGAAGGGGTGCTGGGGGGGTGTGTATCTCAGAGATAGATAGATAGATAGATAGATAGATAGAGAGAGAGAGAAAAAATTCTACCGTCCGAATGAAGATCGTCAACGGTGGTGGCTAGCTGGGCTGTGAAGGGAGACGGTGTTGATCCTGAAGTGTATCTTGTGACGGGCCTGAGGTGAGAGGCGGGGGTGTGGGGCCTGGGTGGTGAAGCTGGTCAGAAGAGGCAAGGAGCCCTGATCTTCCTTCCATTTGGAGTTTAGAAAGTCCAGGGGATTTGATTGAAATGTATAAAATTCAAACAGGGCTGAACAGAGACAATGCAGGGAGGATGTTTCTCCCTGGTTCGGAGGTCCATGGCACATGGTTTCAGGATAAGGCCAGTTTTAGGACTGAGCTGAAGAAATGTTCCTTCACCCAGAGGATGGTGAACCCATGGAATTCTGTACCCCCGGAGGCAGGGTCCCTGAGTCCCATTGAATTTTTTTGTTAATTTTTAAGGCATCAAGGGGTCTGGTGGAAAGGCGAGACTAAGGCATTGAGATCAGCCATAAACCTCTTGAACAGCAGAGGAGGCTGGAAGGGCCAAACAGCCTGTTGCTGCTGTCCCTGCATTTTCCCTCACTCTCCCACCAGAGTCAGTCCGTGTACTGCAAGCACTGCAGGTCACCTCTCAAACCCTCTTATAATCCCAACATGCACCACACCCCCAACAACTGGGTAGGGGACATCTCACCCCGCACCCACCCAGCCCCCCCATCCCCCAAACAACTAGGAATGGGGCAGATCTCACCCCCTCACCCAAACCCCTCCAAACAACTGGGAATGGGGCAGATCTCACCCCCTCACCCCCGACATCCCCCAAACAACTGGGAATGGGGCAGATCTCACCCAGCTGCCCTCCCCCCAACCAATTGAGGGGACAAATCACACCCACCCTCCAACAACTGGGGACAGATCTCCCCCAGACCCCCCTCCCAACCCTGTGGGATGGGGTAGATCACACATCGTTGCCCACCCCATACAACCCAGCATGGGTTTGGGGTGAGGGGAAGCATGGCACAGGGGGAGGTTGTCAGATATCATCCCAGCAACCGCCCCCACCACCCCACCAACAAATTGAGGGGACAGATCTCACCCATCCCCCAACTGGGATGGGGTAGATCTCACCCCATACAACCCGGAGTGGGGGGGCGGGGGGGGGGGGGGGAGGTGGGGAGTGGTGGTGGTGGTGGTGGTGTGGTGGTCAGACCTCACCCCACCCCAGCCCCCTGTGTCGGGGATCATTTGGAGGAGCTGTTCACCTTAAGGGACCAAGGCCGGATAGACAGCTGGACTTTCTTCCTCAGCTCCTTGAAGGACTTGGAGCGGTGGAAGCGAGACTCCGAGGTGGCGGTGAGTCTGGGGAAGGTCTCGATGGCTCTGGGGACCCGGCCCTCGCCCTCGCCCTCACCCTCCCCCGGGCACGGCCCAGCCCCTAGATCCTCCCGGCTCAGCCGCGAGGCGGCTGGGTCACCGGGGAAGGCCCGCCATTGCCGACGGCTGAGGAAAGCCTGGGCCTGGCTCAGGAGGCCGGGCTTCCTGGGCCCGCACCGCCCGGGCAGGCTGCCAATTTCCAGCACCGAGGCCCACTTCCTCTGCCTCCCACGGGTGGGCCTCGATCCGCTGGAGCCGGGCGGCGGCGGCGACGACGACGACGTGGCTTTGGGCCTGGAGGCCGATTCGAGGTTGGCCTCGGAGAGGGAACGGGTGGCCGAATCCCTGCTGGGCCTCGGGTCCCAGGGGTCGGCTGGCGGCGCTGGGCACTTGACCAGCTCCCGGTGCAGGTGCCTCCCCCGGTAGAGAGGGGCTTCAGAGGGAGGAGGAGAGCAGGAGAGGCCCAGGCCCGGAGGGAGACGGCCTGTATCTGAGTAGGCCCCGGGCGCCTTGGCCTCTCCCGGGGAGCAGGGCACCCTGTCAGATGCCGGGCAGCAGGTGGAGATCCTCCGGCGCAGCTTCCAGCCCCCGACGACGGCGGCGGGAGAGGGACCGGCCAGCGCCCCACCCGAGGCCGAGGAGCTCTGGCTGTAGACGGACGACAGGCTCAGGCTCTTGGCCCGGCAGGCCAGCTCGGAGCGGCCGGTGGGAGGCCTGCACCGGGAACGCAGCACCAGGCCCGAGATGTACTTGTCCAGCCGACCCCGGGTCGCCTCGGGGGCCTCGGGCAACCTTTCGCCCGCGGCTCCGGGCCCCGCTTCCCTGGGGGGCGGCAGGCACACAGGGTAGGCCCGGGCTGAGCAGGCCACAAACAGGGGGCTCTGCAGGGCCACGGCGTGCAGCGGGCTCGGGTAGTGGTAGACCTCGGCGCCATGATGGGAGACAAGGTCGCAGCGGTACTTGCGGTCAGGGGGCCCTGGAGGCAGCCAGCAGCCCAGGCTCGAGGGTGAAGGGCCTCTGCCTGGGTCAGTGCTCAGGGAACGACGAAGAGGGATCAGGTCTCCTGGAGGAGAGAGAGAGACAGAGGCTGGGTTAGAGGAGATCCATCAGAGCAACATCTCCCCACTCCCTCCCTCCCAAACCCCTATATTCACCCCACTACTGCTCGAGGGTCAGCACCGAGGGGTAGGGTGCCTCACTGTCAGAGGATCAGTGACCTCCCTCCGGAGGGTTCATTGTTAACCCAGAAGGGTATTAGGCCCTCAACAGCACAGTGCCTCAGTGGTTAGCACTGCTGCCTCACACCGCCAGGGACCTGCTTTCGATCCCACCCTCGGGCAACTGTCTGGGTGGAGTTTGCACATTCTCCCTGTGTCTGTGTGGGGTTTCCTCCCACAGTCCAAAGATGTGCAGCTTAGGGTGGATTGTCCATGCTAAATTGTCCCATAGTGCCCAGGGATGTGCGGGTAAGGGTGGATTGGCCGTGCTAAATGACGCCATAGTGCCCAGGGATGTGCAGGGTAGGGTGGATTGGCCGTGCTAAATTGTCCCATAGTGCCCAGGGATGTGCAGGTTAGAGTGGCTTGGCCGTGCTAAATTGTCCCATAGTGCCCAGGGATGTGCGGGTTAGGGTGGATTGGCCATGCTAAATTGTCCCATAGTGCCCAGGGATGTGCAGGTTAGGTGGATTAGACATGGGAACTGCCAGGTTACAGGGAAAGGGCAGGGGAATGGGTCTGGGTGGGATGTTCTCCGGAGGGCAGGTGTGGACTTGGTGGGCCGAATGGCCTGTTTCCACACTGTAGGGATTCTATGAAATGCGAGTTTGGACAATTGCAAAAGCCCTCCCTTGCAGATCAAATCGCCCCATCTCTTGTCCCCTTCCCTCCTGCATCTCCAGTCAGCTACCACCTGAGAACAACTGACCCATGGGGCTATGCGACTGCAGTGGGCATCGCCAAAGCGTCTCAGGTGAAGCCCACAGCCTGTGGCGGGGGGCAGCCGGAGAGACGCCCGGTCGGTTTCCGAGCCCCGGGGGAGGGAGTTAGTTCTGGGATGGATGAAGAGAGAGAGAGAGAACATGGAGGTGAACTCTACCTGTCGAGACCGGCCTCTGCGAGACCCTGCACCTCCTGACAGCCCCGCCGGCCTCTCCTGCGTGCACGTCCCGGCCGCTCAGCAGCAGCCTCTGCGACCGGAGGTCCCCGAAACAGATCGCGGCGTCGTCAGTCGAGCGGGGTCTGTTCCAGTGGCCATTCGGCCGGGGAAGCTGAGAGAGGGACTGCATGCTCCACCGCGAGCTGGATGGACACTCACTGTACACGGACGTATAGGAGTTCGAGGGGGAGCATGACATGCTGTCACTGACGTCGTAAAAACCTGTGAGAGAGAGAGAGAGGGTCAGGGACACATCACAGTGTAACCCATCTCCAACCCGCTTCTCCAGGTTGGACCCTTTCCGCATTCTCCCAATTTCCGTCTCAACAGGGCTATCAACTCTACCCCATCCCCACTCTCCTCCAGCCACGCTCCCTGCTGCTTCACCTCCTACAGATTCCCATATTCCCTTCATCCCCTCACCCTCTCCGCCACCCAACGCTCTTCCCTTCCCTCTCCGCCACCCAACGCTCTTCCCTTCCCGCTCCGCCACCCAACGCTCTTCCCTTCCCGCTCCGCCACCCAACGCTCTTCCCTTCCCGCTCCACCACCCAACGCTCTTCCCTTCCCTCTCCTCCCTCGGCGCTGCCCATTTTAAGGTAAGCAATGGCGTATTGCCAGGCCAGTCCTTAAGGATACAGGCCATTCATCCCGTCCATCTCGATCACGGCTGACTCTCCTGCCCTCTTTCCCCGTAAACCTTTCACCAGGTAAACACCCCACGCGGCCAATCGGACATTAATAAGCAAACCCTGTAGCCTTTGATCCCCACCCCACCCTGCCCACCTTACCAATGCAGAACATGGCCCCCACACCCCTCTGCGGCAAAGTGCCCCACAGATTCACCACCCTCGGGCTGAAGAAATTCCCCCCTCGTCTCGGTTCTGAAGGGACACCCTTTCGCTCTGAGGCTGTACCCTCGGGTCCTCGTCTCCCCTAACCAGTGGGGGCATCTTCTCCATTCTATCCAGGCCCCTCAGTATTCCCTAAGTTTCACTCAGACCCCCCCCCCGCCAGTTCTTCTAATTTGTCTGCATTGTTGGTGCCGAGGTGGACCACAAAAATTGGATCTTTCTCCCTCCCACTCTGCAGCCCAGGTGTGTCACACGGCATGGAAACAGACCCTTCGGCCCAACCAGTCCATGCTGACCATGAGCCCAAACTGAGCTAGTCCCACCTGGCTGCCTCTTGGCCGAATATCCTGAACCCAGCCTTCGAGACGCACAATCCTGGCCCCAGGGCAGCAGCGTCCCCGATTATAGCAACGTTTCTCACCCACACGGGGAGTAAGAATCTCCAGCTCGGGTCAGTACCTGAGCT